CTGGCTGATGTTCACTGGAGCTGCATGGGGGGATTAATCTGCTTTAATGATATATTCTAATTAAGCTTACGATTTCCAGCAAATACTTTTATCTCTTAAAAAAACTGTTATAACATGCTGTTTATGGACTCCAAGCCATCTACAAGTCATATAATTTTCCTCGTTCCTTTAATTACCCAATTGCTCTTAAACTAGCATTTTTCCTTATTCCAACTTTCACAGCCGTTTTTAAAATTAGTCACTGAAGAAAAGATATACTTCTGACTCTCTGAACCCATTGTACTTAAACAATTGATCTTAATTTGAGATATAAAATGATGCTATACAGAACCTTCTATTAGTATGAAAACTAAACCCAATGCACTATTACAGCGGTTTTCAAACTTTTTTTCTCATGACCCAATTGAAGTTAATTGTTGATGTCTACAATCCAACATGATTATATCTGTTGACTAGAGTTTGGGCTCCAGGATGGGGCCAGGCTTGAGAGGTTTGGGGGCACAGGAGGAGGCTCTTTTGACTTTTGAATTAGCTGCTCCACTGTATACTGATTTAAGTTGGCACCCTTGGTAGGCATCACACCAGCCAGGAATTAGAGCTCAATACTTTTTAGCAATACTGCCAATGCCCTTCAGTGCCTGGTCTATTCACTTTTCCCAAGGGAAATATAGAAAGGTGTTGCATAGAATTGGCTATACCAGCTTTATGCCACTGGTGATTTCCCTCTTCCCCATGCCAGGGGAATAATCAGATGGAATTCAAGAGACAACATTAAGGTTTCTACTGTCCTCAGAACATATGATAAAACAAACTATATGGATCATAGATTTGTTTCAACAAATCAATAACAATATAATCTAGAAAATGAACATGCAAATCTTTCTCTGAACAAAAAATACGGTATAAAAGAAGACACACAGATCCAGTTTGTGCAAAATAGTATCATAGACAGATGTTATTTTCTGCAAATATAACACAAAGAAAGTGATGACTTATTCTGAATAAGACACTCCATCTGTGCCTGATACTATGAGGACTGTAGAAGGTAAAAATAGTGGCCTTGCATTATGCTGAAAGCATAAGCAAAAGAGTTACTCCAGCTGACATCTAAGCATATTGGTGCAAAAGCTTCAAAACAACATCTGATACTGGAGATAATGCTGGTTGGTGGGGGGTGGCAGAGTGGGGAGTGAAAAGGAGGAATTCTAATCCAAAGCCTACTTTATTATTGTTAGCAATCGGGTGTGAAACAAAAATCTATACACATTTAAAACTAATTGCCTACAGGGATTCCATTTGATCAATCTCCCACAGCAATATGTTGTTTATCAACATTGATGTTCTCTTTGATCATGCATAGGTGATTCCTTCACATATAATCAACATGAGAGACATTAACAGATGACATGGCTTGTTGCTCCAATCTATTTCTGAGGGAACAATGGCATTCTTAAAACATCAGAGCTCCATGGAAATTGTAAAATTGAGAATAAACTGTATTAGGCTTATCATTCATGGGCATCAAGCTTGAAAACCCTTCCTATGACTCAAGGTAAAATACACAGAAAATAAGTTTCATGGAAGTAGAGCCCTATTTATTACAATTAAGTTGTTTCTAATACTTTCTAGTACAATGATAAATATATTTATTAAAGAGAAGATTTACCCAGTGTTGCGTGGGTTCTCAAAGGCAGGACGCGGGGGTCTGGGAGGTTCAGGAGTCGGGGCAGGGTATTGGGGATATGGGAGCTCAGGTCAAGGGGTTGGAGGTATGGGGGGGGGGTTAGGAGGGCCTCAGGGAAAGGGTCTGTATGTGTGGGGGGTGCTGGTGTCAGTGTTTAGGGTGTGGGAGGTGCAGGCCTGAACCTCTTCCCTAATTCATAATTCATAATATCAGAAAATAAATGGTATGGTGATTTTGAGGAAAATGCCAATCTGCCTGTTTGACAGGACTAAGTACAAAATGGCGGGGGCAGCATGGTAGATAATAATGCCCCATTGCCTCCTACAGACTTTCCCTGTCTTAGTCCACAAGTTTTGGCTTGACTGCTTGGAGCATAATGGACCATGTCATTAACTCAGCAGCAGTCTCTAAACTTTTTTAAAAAATCATAATTTGGTTGTCTGGGCTTATAAAGAAATAAACCCTCAAATGTAAGCACTTAGTTGTGGTGCTTGACAGAAAAGTTCTGGGGTTCTGTGTAGCACTGTCCCAGTCTCATTCAGTACTGTGTTCTGCCCTGGGAAGAAGAAAACTAGCTTTCTGGCTCCCCAATTAGTCATTGTCTCCCCCTGGCCCTTCTAGGCCCTTGGAAGACTAAATATTGGAAGGAGGTTTCCCTGAGCAAGGGACATTGAGAAACCAATGGATCTAACAGGGGTCAGAAAAAGCTTAACAGGGAATTTCCCAAAGGGACCAAAAGCAAAGAGAAAAACAATAAGGAGATAAATTTAAACAATAGGCATATCCTCTTTTCTACCAAGTTGTTACCTAGACTTGAACTATTTGGGCACATCAACAACAGAAGTATATGAAAGTCTCAAAGGGGTAGCCATGGTAGTATGTGACTTTAAAAACAATGAATAGTTTTGTGGCACCTTATGATATGCCTACACTACAGGACAAAGTCGAATTGAGATACACAACTTCAGCTACATTATTTGAGTAGCTGAAGCTGAAGTAGTTTAACTCGGCGTTTGGCACTCTCTACGCTGAAGGAAGTCAAAGGAAGAACATACTTCCTTTGACTTTCTTTATTCTTTGTGAAAGCAGGGTTATTGGCATTGACCGGCATGCCCTTCTCATTTCGAATTAGCAATCTTAACTAGATTGCTAATTTGGACTCCAGAAGATTGACAGCAGCAGCTTCAATCTTCCTCTGTAGTATAGATGTACCCTCAGAGATTAACAAAAACATATAGTATCATAAGTTTTCATGGGTAAGACTCACTTCATCAGATGATTTGGAGTAGAAATTTCCCTGCCTTTAACATTTGCATGTTCACATCAAAAGCTATGAATCAGACACATCCAGCCTACTGAATTAGTGTCATTAACATGGGTCCTACAATTGACAGGTACTTCTTTTGCTGTTATTTTTATCTTGGACTCTGTTATTTTCAGAGTAGTTTAACTATTTCAAAACAAGTGTTATTCCCTAAGGAAAGCAGGGGTACAGATTTCAAAATAACGGTTTTGGTAGCATGGATGCTCTGCTTATTATTTTGAAATAAGGGGGATTATTTCAAAATAACTCCCTAGTGTAGACCAAGGCTATGCAGCCACAGGACACTTCATTTTTGAAGCTTATGAATTCAGAGGGATTGAGAAACAGTACAAAATTGCTGCTCTATACATTGAAAACTCAAAAGGCTTAATGCTTACGCTTTTACTGAAACATAGTTAGCATTTTCTAGGAAAAGTACCATAAATATAACAACTTCCAATCATCCATAGCATGTTATTTTTTGTTAAAGGAAAGAAAATAGTCATGCTATCATGAAATAGAAAAACAAAACCATAGACTTCCTTCCAGATCTAACTTGCCCTTATAGATTATTTTGAATATTTACCAAAAAAAAATAGGCATAAATTTTACCGAAGTGATGGAAAACATGCCAGCAATGAAATGAATGTAAAGTGAACTAATGTGTGTACTCAAGTTAGTTTGGGATAAGGGGAAAAATGAGAGGAAAAAGCATTTTGAAAAAAAAACAGAAAAAAATTATAATATAAAAAATGCTGTAATTTCCTCTATTTTGTAGCTCCTTAGCTCCCTTAGCCAACTGTAGACAACAACAAATCTACTGTCATTCTCATCAGAATAATGCATCATGGAGCATTTCTTTATAGCCTCTAAATGCTGCTGGCTCCCTGGTATCAGAAACAGAGACAAAATTGCCCTTGATCTGATTTGTCTCTCCTGTTGCTGGAGAGAGACACACTATTCCTTCACCACAAAACACAATAACCACATCCTCTTGAGAAAATGAAAATTACTTAAAACACCACTGTATTTTGACAGACTGTTTAAAAAAAAATCACTGAATCCAGACATCTTTAATTATTCAAATGATAAATAGACAATGCAGTCACTACTTCTTTCCCTTCCATGCATAAGCGTAGATAGTAATCACATTGTTAAATTGCTTAGCAACTGTAGGTATAAAAGCTAATAAGTCATAATTTATATGTGAAAAGTTTGCAGGGGGTTAGTAGCATACTCCTTGTGTTATTGAGGTTTCATGCTGAGAATTCCATTCCAAACTGGCAGTTGTCCCAAAACACTGCAGCATATAATAGTTCAAAAATGGAAATGCCACAATGACTGGTCAAATGGACTTTCACCATATCTTTTTCCATTAGCCTCCCAGTAACTTCTGTAAGTAGCTTTCAGACTGAAAACAACCTTTGTGAACAGTTTCATAAGGAATTCATGTGCTGAATCAAGCTTAACTAGACTCACTGGTGGTGGGAAAAGGTAATTTTGAATAGTTTTAATTAGACTAAGGTATCTCCTAGAAGCCAAAGTTCAAGTAAATAGGCTTTGTCTCAGGGAGTTTTGCTAGGGCTGGAGGCTAGAATCACTCTGAACAGGCTATCAAGCACCCAGTACCACAACTCCATAGCCATTATTTGAGTCTATTAGCAGTAATAATACTCATGGCTGTTAGGTGCCTCATAAATGGAGGGAAGAGACGATTTTGTTAATTCAGTTTGAAGACCCACTCTTACCCACTCTTACACATTGGCACATAGTGAACAACAATACAGTTGTGTACTATGAGATACTGGGATGCAGGTGCCCAAATTTGCACTCTCTGGAGTCATATCTCCCATGTGCAACTGATCTACATGGGGGAGGAGGTTCTACTACCATTGTTCTCTATGTATCCAGGTGAGTAAAACAAGATTTGACTCTAAATCAATAAAACTCTCCAATATAAGAAACATACAGAAAGTAGACACTAAGAATATCAGTGAACTAGTGAAACTTTACCTGCAACCACTGTGACTGATCACTATGGCCTGAAGTCCAGGCATTCACTTTGCCTTGCTTGTCTAGCCGGGCTTTCCTAGGTTCCCAAGTGAACATGTCCATGTTGAGTGTTCTGAAGACGCTGGAGGCAGTAATCTGATAATCCTGTATATGCCCTGATTTCATCCCCAGAGGCTCAGAACAACCTGAAAAAGTGAAAAGGAATCCATGAGATTATTTACTTACTGTCTCAGTGCCTTAGATGCTCTCTGTCCCTCCCTCCCTTTCTCTCTTTTGGTGACATAAGCTGGTTTAATGGGTCTGATGAGAAAGGGAGCCAAGCTTGTTGCCAGATGGTTGAGTGATAGGGAAAATTGTGGTGTGCTCATCTTGTCGATAAAGGAGTCTTATGATTAGGTGTACCTGGGGGATCGATGACTGTCTAAGCCAACAAAAGGGAGGATAAACCTGCCTAAGAGACTGTGAGTGATCTCCTGTCTTTCTTTAACTGGGAAGGCTACCTATTTTTCCCTGAAAAGGGTTTGCCAAACTACTCTGGGAGGGTATGTCTACACTACCACCCTAGGTCGAACTAGGGTGGTAATGTAGGCAACCGGAGTTGCAAATGAAGCCCAGGATTTGAATTTCCCGGGCTTCATTTGCATCTCGCCGGGCGCCGCCATTTTTAAATGTCCGCTAGTGCGGACTCCGTTCCCCGCGGCTACACGAGCAGTAACTGTAGTTTCATGAGGAGTAACGGTAGTTTCACGAGGAGTAACGGTAGTTCGGACTAGAAAGCCTAGTCCGAACTACCTAGTCCGTGCCGTGTGTAGCCACGTGGCACAGAGTCCGCACTAGCGGACATTTAAAAATGGCGGCGCCCGGCTTTATGCAAATGAAGCCCAGGAAATTCAAATCCCGGGCTTCATTTGCAACTCCGGTTGCCTACATTACCACCCTAGTTCGAACTAGGGTGGTAGTGTAGACATACCCGGAGAGAGCAACTTCACTTAGAAACACTGAGGAGGCCCTCTCCACCATTGTAACTTAATCTGTGAAGACTACAGCTATAGCTATGGGGAGGTAGTAGCTTTTTCTGGAGAACTAAGGTTAGTCCTCTGGATGAATAGGTACCCTCATCACCTTGCTACTCTGTCCCGGCCTGCAATGACTCATGAAGGTAAAAGGGTTCTTCCACATTATGGATCTCACTGGAGTGGAATAAATTTGTGAATCCAGGGAACTCCAACCTGACTACTTGAAGGTTGTAGAGTTACAGGACCGCTTGGGAATAGTGACCATAATATAATAACAGTCAACATTCCTGTGGTGGGAAGAACACCTCAGCAGTCCAGCACCCTGGCATTTAATTTCAAAAAGGGGAATTACACAAAAATGAGGAGGTTAGTTAAACAAAAATTAAAAGGCACAGTGACTAGAGCTAAATCCCTACAAGCTGCATGGAAACTTTTTAAAGACACTATAATAGAGGCCCAACTTAAATGTATACCCCAAATTAAAAAACATAGCAAGAGACCTAAAAAAGAGTCACCGTGGCTTAATCACCATGTAAAAGAAGCAGTGAGGGACAAAAAGGTATCTTTTAAGACGTGGAAGTCCAATCCTAGTGAGATAAATAGAAAGGAAGATAAACACTGTCAAATCAAGTGTAAAAATGTAATAAGAAAAGCAAAAAAAGATTTTGAGGAACAGCTAGCCAAAAACTCAAAAAGAAATAACAAAATGTTTTTTAAGTACATTAGAAGCAGGAAGCCTGCTAAAAAACCTGTGGGTCCCCTAGATGATCGAGCTATAAAAAGAGCAATCAAGGACGATAAAGCCATTACGGAGAAACTAAATGATTTCTTTGCTTCAGTCTTCACGGCTGAGGACATTGGGGAGATTCCTGAATCTGCACCATCCTTTGTGGGTGATGAATCTGAGGAACTGTCACAGATTGAAGTGTCATTAGAGGAGGTTTTGGAACAAATAGAAAAACGTAATGTTAACAAATCTCTGGGACCGGATGGCATTCATCCAAGGGTTCTAAAAGAACTCAAAGGGGAAA